GCAAAACATAAAAATATTTTTTATTTAGGGAGAACTCTGTTTGCTTTTAGGTTGGCAATCTTAAAGTATAAAATTTAAATACGCATAAAATACGTATTAACATATTAAATACCCATAAATTACGCATCTTTTTAAAAATTTATTTTAAACCATTTAAACGACATTTTGAGATTAAAGCACAGAGATTATTTTTAACCCTCTTCATTTAGTAAAATGCTTTCTGTACTACATTCAATAGAGAAAAGGGTTAGAAAAATGCGATATACAATGTCAACATTCATTTGAAATACCGATTCTAATTTATTTTTACAACTTGCTTGCAAAAGTTCTCGTGCTGATATTCTGCCATGAACTTGTAAAACTAGACAAATCATGAAACTTTGTATCTAGGTCTGAAGGATAAATACTACACAAGGAACTGTCATGGTCAAAAAACTAGTCAGAAAATCAAATCTTTTCTCTGCAAACTCGTAAGCAGAAAGACTTTTTTTTAAGTACATTTTCAACTTGTTTATGAAAATGGGAAAAGCGTATAATTCTAAATTCTTCACTACCATTTAAAACAAATTCACTCTCGCTATTCTTACCAACTCCAACTAAAAAAAAAAAAAAGGACCCTATTTTTTGATGGTTGGGCGCATGAACTTTATGACATTAGCGCATGACTGTTATGATAACATGCGCCCGTGCACCCTTGTTAATCCGAAATTAAATTTCATACTACATTTTTAATTACCTCGGTATTTAATTGTCGTCGAAATGTCGAAGCAATTAAATTAATGCGAAAGTACATTAAATTTTTTTTTTTTTAAATCCGCCATTATAATGACTAGAAAGTTTTTTTTAATTAATGGTATTTTTGTTGTTATTTTATTAAAATACATTTTCAAAACATGCGTGGAGTGTTGCTACATCGACTATATTATAGTCTGACTCGCAACGGAGTGCTGCTACATCAACTGACAAATAGCCTGACTCGCAAGGGAGTGCTGCTACATTGACTGAGGGTTTGGTTCGGGCAGGCAGTCTATCATTTAAAAAAAAAAATTATTTTATTCGTAGAATCGCCTCTTTTCGCACAATAGCTTTATAATATAGTTTGCATATAAGATATGTGTGTTATATTAGTATATGTTCTAAAGAATAAAATTAAAGTATTAGATAATTTTCAGTTTAGTTTTTAACATTTACACTTTTACAAACCCGATTACAAATTATTTTTAAATTAAAATCATATTAACGTTGTGCCGATTTTTGTTTGACATATTAGTGGATTTTTATTTGACATAATGGTGGATTTTTATTTGACAGATTGGCTATATTGGTTATTCCGTATGGGATGTATGTGTTTTTAGTTGTAGCAAAATTTCAAATTAAAATTTACCTTACTAACAGACTGCATTGAAAAACACACCAATATCAAGAGTATTACTTGACGAAACGTTGTTGACATCTGTAGTTCAGTTAACACCATAATATTTGGAATATATTTTTAAACGGAGCATGAATTTAAATATAAAGTAAAATATATTCTATGATGATTACATCTATTGAAAGTAAAACAAATTATAAACAACATGTACTGTTAGTTAATGATTAATTATCTCGCATTAAAGTTGCCAAAAAAGTATATTCATTAAATTTTTTGCTGTAAAACAACCTATAACAAACCTTAATAAGGTTTACCACAAACCAATTTAGTGTCTAATATATTGTCAAATGGCATTTTTAACTTCTATATAAAATAAATGTCAGGGCCGACAATACCGGGAGGTCGGGGAGCACAAATGTGCTCCCCCCCCGCCCCTTTTTTAATTTTTTCAAGAAAAATTTAGATATAGAAGACTTTTTAAAAAATTGAAGATGGAGCCACCTCCCTTCCCCCTCACGTGTCGTCGGCCTTGAATGTTGCTAATAACAACTTATGTTAAAAATTGAACAAGAAAAAAAAACAAACATTTGGCATTACTTACAAAATCTTTTCTACATCTTTACAAAATTTTTTACAATTCAAATAATTAAAATAAAAAATATTTTCAAAATTTCTAATCTGAATTTTCACGTTTTGCTTGAAATATATATTTCAATTACTTCTATTTTGAAATAATGCAAGACGTTTTTTTTTATTTAAATGTATGCTGTGGGTGTTTTATTACTTAAAAAAAAAACAAGTATATTTTTTGTGTAAACATTGGTTTATAATGTTCTCTAAATAAATATTGAGTATTAGCGTAAAACAAATATTTATCTCGCGTACATACTACGGATTGAATTTTAGACTAAGAATTGTCAAGTTTGTATCTAATTCGACAAGCATTTCATTAGTAAAAATTTTTCAGAAAGCTGCTACAACAAACCGTCAAAGCCATTTAACTTGTTCAAACGAGATGAAGCACAGTTAGTTGGTTACAACAAACTCAGCCGTCAAACTTCGCCCACTTTGCGCAGATTTGTGCAGCCTGATAAATAAATCAAACTGAATTTTATGCTTACAATAAAAATTAGCAAATTTTTTATGGTAAAAAAAAAAGGCATGATCAGCAGTTCAATATAACTTCAATATTTTATTTTTTTTACTTATTAATATAGTTTATCATGGCGATGAAAACGGAATGTCGCAAGACCATATATTAGAAAACCAGATGAATGCTAAAATAGATAGGTACATTAAAAGCAGTATGGATACAAGTCCAACATTTGACCCGCTTGAATCACCTGTTGGCTTCAATTCTGTTAGTCCAACAGTCACGCAGATAGTAGACAGCCAAAATAGCGACGTTGCAGTTATTACTATTCCTAACTCGATGGCAATCGAAGATGAACATGGTAGAGAAATAGATACAATAAAATCAGACAAATGGTTATATGAGAACGCAATTAAAGAGAACTATTCCGCAGATTTACAACCCGTTGAAAAAATTTCCGTAGATTTACTTAAGGAGACTGCTAATTTTGTTAGTTCACCAACTGTGACCAACCGAGTACAACCAAGACCAACCGTAAGTTTAACTCACCATCTTTAACGTTCAAATTGTACAAGGTTTTAAAAACAAAAATTTTTTTTTTCAAAAAGGCTCAAAAACTACTATCTGAAATGCAAGAGAACGAACTCAATAGATTTGAAAAAAAAAAATAGCGTTTACAAACGTTTAAAGTGATGTTTTCATCAATTCAAACCATTTCAGATAACAACATCAAATTTAGATTTTAGATATTTACTCAAAATAGTTAAGTCACAAGTGTACCGTGTGGTCTTCTATTTTACTCCATACAATTGTTTTGCTAATCATTTATGATAATAATCAATGAGCATCTGATTGAAACTTTTTACATGATCCACTTATGATGGTATAGCGCCTATGATGGCATACCGGTCATATTTTCGTAAATATTGGTTATGGTGAAAAAGTGATTTGACCAACATGTCTATAATTAGGGAGTCTAGGTAACTTTTTTAGCAAATCTAAATATTTTTTATTTTAATTACATTAAATTTTTTAATATTTTATTTCCAAAAAGGTTTCAACCACTTCTGCGGCTTATTTAGTTCCAAAGATATACGTATTTTAACATTTTCAGTTCATAGACTTTTTAGGAAATATTCTCTTAAAATATATCGTTAAATTTTTGGCACCGAAAAAAAAAACATTTTTTCGCTGAAAAAAAAGAAAAAAAAATTTTGAAAAAAAAGTTTTGAAATTTTTTTTTTCTTGCGTGTTAACAAACTTTTAATAAAGTTTTATTAGAAAATTAATAACAATTTATAAATATTAATTTTTTTAACAGCGAAATATGTTTTGAACTTTTTTTAACATAAATTAAATTTTTAATTGTTTCAAGTTAACGTAACAAATTTTTTATTTTTTTTTTTTAATGTTGATTTAGGCGCCCCAAGAAGTCCTTACGGTCTTATCACAGAGCACCGCGGAAGAGCATTTAATAGGAAGTTGACGCCTCCTTTCCAACCAATGTCACATAACTTGCCCAGAGGTGGGCTTTGAACCAGGGATCTTACGTTTCTGAGGCAAGTACGCTACCACTGCGCCACGGCTGCTAAAACTTTCAGCGTAACAAAACTTTGAAAAATATTAATCTAAATTACCTTTAGTTTAAACTTTCTTTAAGGTCCCCACCAATTTTGAAATCTTTTTTTAGAAAAAATCAATTATTTAATAACATATTTATGATTTTTAATTTTTTTTGATTAAATAAATAAATATGTCAAAATGTGTGTACTTTGGCCATAATAGGTTTTTGAGGTCCTAAACAACGCCATAGCAACGGATTTTTAAACAAGCAAGTTTCAACTCGTTCAAACTTCTAAGCAATAGTATCTTATTTCTACAGCTTCTTATTTATTATGTGCTTTATAGTTAGTGAAGGTTTTCAATTGGGACATGCTTTTTTTTGTAATATAACAAACCTTTTCTTTGTTTTTTGTATTTATCTCAAAACTTTTAGATTGGGACCATATGCAAACTTAAAATTTTCATGGGTGCTTTCTTTATTGTTCACAAAACTGAAAATTTTATCAAAACTGGATAATTCTACGAAAAGTTATGAGCATTATAGTGACGAAATGTGATTACAAGGATTCCTCAACAAAACTGTGACCAATTTATAGTGGTTTTGTAACTTAAACTACCTTAACATTGTCAATTCTTTTCTAAATGCATATATCTTGGTATCAAAAGATAGGTGTAACATTGGGCTACAAATTTTATTAGCTTTTAACACCCGTGCATGTTAAGGGGATAGAGGGGGAAAAAAAGAACTGCCTTTGCCATCAACAAATGCACATTTCTTCCATTAAAGATAGTTTTTATATAAAATTAGTAATTTTTTTATAAACAAAGTTGTTATTTTTTTATTCCAGTTCCCAAGTATATATTAGTGGTGTATTTTATGAAGTAGGGTAGGTGATGGTACACGCCCTAGTATCAAAATCGCTAGATTCTGATAAATATTTTTATCATTATTAAAATTAATGAAAAGAGTATGAAAATGAAAAATAATATTTAATAATATAAAAATAATATTTAATAATATAAAAATAATTAGCCGAATAAAAAGTGGTAAGGTCCTTACTCCTCTTAAATCTTAAAACTTTTTTTTTTAGTTATTAAGGTGCTCTAAGAAGTCTAAATGGTCTTGTCACCAAGTACCGCCACATGAAGAATAGCATTTATTAAGATAACTTTCTGTTTCCAACTTCACCAATAACGTTTAATTGCTTCGAGCTGAGATCGAACCAGCAAACCTTGAATTACGAGTCCAATGCTCAAACCACTGCGCAACAACTGCTAAACCACTGTGCTATGGTTACTAAATTTATTGGTGCCTTTAAATGGTGAATTTATTTATAACTTCTATCTTCTTTCTATCTTCTATCTATTTTTTTGTATAGTTATTATTTTATTTTCAATTAGTACTTAGGTGCTTCACAAAATCCTGAGGGGCGAAATAATGCCTAATAATAATCTAAAGAAAATTGTGACTATGAAAATAGCCATTTTATTTTTTTGAAGAGTTTAGCTGAATAATAGAAAGTCAAAAGATGCATATTATCGTTAAAGCATTGATCTCGTATTATCTGATAACGCCAAATCACACACATGTATACACATATCAGCAGAAAGTTGATATTTATTCATATCAAACTCATTAGCATCCTCGTCCTCACGCTCCTTTGGTTTACAGTAAGAAATGATATATACAACAATATTATTTTTTTTAAATCTAAGAGTTCGCCCATAGTAGATTTCCTGAGTGTTAGTGACAGAATCATACCACATGTGGCAGATATTTCGTCCAATAACATCACCAAAAAGAATGTCTTCAATATCTGCTGCCTTGTTATTTTCTAGATCAGGAAACAGTATTCGTATTTGCTGAGGCTGAGACTCATTTGCAGAGACCAAATCTTTCAAAAAAAAATTTTCTGTTTTAGTAGCTGAAAATCCATTTTGATTATACAAATGAATAACATATTCTTTTAAACATAGCTGATAAGAAGTCAAATTTTCAGAAAGAGGCAGTTCGCTGTAAGTGGACTTGAGATAATCGAAAATTGCACTTTTGCATTTTCTTTTTGACATTTTAAAACTTGAATTGCTGTACATAAAATCAAAAAATGAAAATAATTTTTTTTACATAAAATATAATAATAACGCTTACATTAACATGTCAAAGACAATTACATCAAAGTTTCAACGATAAATGGTGTTCTGTTCTTTATTTTATAAAATTTGTAATTTTTTTAAAAGAGTTTTTTAAAAAGTTTTTTTAAAAATGTTTAAAAGTTTTTTTAATAAATGTTATACATATTAAGTTTGTTATTCTAAAAATGCCTATAATTAATTTTAAACAAACAAAACAAAAAATTTTAACTTGTATTTTATTGACAAACAGTAAGCAATAGATTAAAATGATTACCAATAAATTAAATCCAAACAAAAACCAAATGACTCTTATTTTTCAAAAGTTAACAAACATATGTTTCTTTTAACACCGTCAAAGTAAATAAGTTTTTTAAACCAATCAAATATTATATTCATACCTTATTTTTTATTGAAGATATTTCAATTATTATACAACAAAACAAGCTAAACTTATTTATTCGTTTGATAAACAATAAAATGACATATGATATTAATAGGTCGCAGCTGAAAAACAAAACAGCCCCACAACATTTTTTAGATGGTATCAAAGGGTTGTGCAATAATCATGAACTAAATCTGGAGACAATAATGGAAAGTAAAAAAAAATAAAAATTGTCGGCCTCAAAAATTTAATTCCTGAAACGGATCTTCAATCTCTAAAATGTGCAGTTGAGTACTGGAACTTAAAAGAGCAGAGAACTATCTTCAAGGGCATTCTTGAAAAACATATTCCAAGATGATCACGTTGAAAAAAAAAAAAAAAAAAAAAAATCCAAGATTTTTTATATTTATCTTGTATGAAACTCTTAATTTACCTTACTTGTATAGAGGGTGTTTAATAAATCTAAAATAAAAAATAAAATTAAGAAATTATCCCGTGATCAGCAAAACTTTTAATAATAAAACAAAGATTAAAAAGCGAGAAATTCTTAATTTCACCGATTTTTGGTATGCTTGATGACTCTTGAAAACAATATGCGCACAACCGATTTACTTTAAATTTTGAACATTAGCAGATAAATAAATTATCTAAAGGACCCTTTAATTTCAACAAGGATCCGCCATAACTTACAAAACTCTATCTCGTTAAAAACAATGATTTACATTTTAAAATAAAGATTTTTTTTATTTTTGACAGTAAAAATAAAATATACGAATATATAGCTTAACCTTTTTACTAAACGACTACCAATTTTTATTTAATTTGGTTCATAAATAGCGGCACAATATGGTTTGGTGTAAATAGTGTTTTCGCAAAGCGAAAAAAATAGGTCACAGTTTTTTACTTACTTTTTTTACGGCAAATTACGGATATTCGCACGTACCTACATTCACTGTATTATGAGGAAAATTGCCACATGTGGAAAAAAGGCTACACCTAACAACTATAATGATAGTTGTTCGTCGTTTCTTTAACTTTCTGATGGTATCAACTAATCTATTTATCTTTTTGACTAAAGCTTTTTTGCAGCAAAACAGTTTAACAACAATATGTTTGATGCATTTTGTTCTAGAATGTTTCGTGGCTCCTAAACTCGACCATTTTTGAGTTCAGGAGCCACGGAAAATTCTGAAAAATGCCGTGGTACTTTTGATTGGCTGAATCCTAAGACCTTGGCAGTCATTCCAGAATACAAGATAAGAAAAATTAGAGAATCCTTGGAGATAAATAAAGTAAAAATTCGAAACGAGATAGGTATTGGGAAAACTGTTCTAAAATTGATGACGGGGATAATGTGAAAACAAAAACTTGGGGACCAGTACACCTATCCAAGTTAAATTCTACCATTTTGCGCGGCGGGGACTGAACTCTAACTGTGTGGATAAATATCGAAAAAATTTGCTAAATATCTGTATTTGAATTAGAATTTATTTGTATTTATCTTTTGAGTTTAACACGATGACAAGAGGTAACTGTGCAGTAGCAGGGTATTTGAATAGCCATTATAAACTTTTGAAGTAGAAAAAACAAGAATGTAATGTTCATGAAGGATTGAAAAAAGAACAATGTATTTGTAATCGTTTATCTTTACTGTGTTTCAAGTTCTTTAAGAAATTCTTGAGAAAGAGAAAAGTGGAGAATTTTGTTAAAAAGGGAAGGTAAAAATAAGAAAAAATCGAATCCATGTGACAGTGATTGTGTATGTTTGATGCATTTTGTAGATGGAACACCTACCATTGCTAATCCAGATCCTACTTTAAATATGGGATAAAATTCTACTAATATTAAGCCAAGAAAGATTTTAAATAAACGTTGTCCAAAATCGAACTTTTTAATTTTGAAAGGTATTAGCACAAAATGTAATGAAACTAATAATAACACAACTGAAGATAATACCAATGAGTTATGCAGTAGTAATAATGATAATGCAATTTATCTACCACCGCCAAGCTGTGAACATTCATATGATAGCCATTCATTGCTAAATGTGTGTGAAGGATGTAATTCTAAAACGTCTTTGATTGGTTCACTTGTTTGAAAAGTTAATTTCTTGAATATATCCTTAAAGCAACTAAACCAAAAACAAGTTGATCAAACTAAGAAGTTATTGATTTTTTCATGCAATAAAGTTAAAACAGACAAAAAAAAATGAACTTTTATACACGGATATCTACAACAGCTTTATTTAATGCCATCTTCTTACTTGTTATACAATTTCTTCAAAAGCTCAGTTACTGGCGAGGATCAAAACATGTTCAGAATACTAGCAAATTAAAGCGCAGATTTCAGTCAACTAAATATAGAAAACTTTCTCATCAAGATGAATTTTTTAATAATTCAAGAGATGGAAGTATAAGACCTTAAAGTCGTTAGATAATAGTATTCAAGGAATAATGTGTTATCACAGGAATCTGTACTAAAAGTAATTAAACTTACTAATGCTTCAAGTTTTAATATTAAAACCATGGAGGTGGGGGGGGGGGGGAAGAAAATTTCATTATGTCAAATAAAGATTCTTTACAAAAGACTGTGATGTTGAACAAAAAACATTGGCCTCCCTGGCCTAAACTTTAGAGCAACAAGTTGCACTTTCCATTTTCTGATACAACACTAATAATTATAGGTAACGAACTTAGAATTTTATTCGCATTGAATTATTTTCCTAATAATATATCATGCCTACAAGTCCATAGGGAAAATATTTTTTTATTTTGCCGTAATTCGCACTTATGCAAATGTTTTTAAAATGTTTTGGCGCACTTAAGCCAATTCGTACATATGCCAGTTCTCACTTATGCCAGTTTTTGCAACGCTTCGCACTTATGCCAGTTCGCATATATGCCAATTCGCGCCTATGCCAGTTCGCGTTTATGCCATTTGCACTTATGCCAGTTCGCACTTATGAAATTTGCGCTAATTCAGTTGTCCCATATTGTTTAATTATTGACCAGGTTAATTTCAGTGTTATTTTTAAGTTTTCTTTTATCTGACATATATACTTCGAAAGTGTGGTTGAATTTTTCATCTTTTTGTTTGTGAATGAGTGTTTGTTGTTGACCCATCTTTTCTTCCATTTACCTTCTGCTAGGCCAATATATACTTTTTCTGGAGTGTTAGGGGGGGGGGGGGGGACTATACATTTATAAATAACGTTTATACTATACATTTATAAATTACGTTTGAGGCTCTACATTTTCCAGTTATAGGGTAGTTTTCTTCATTTATGCAATTACATATATATGTATATATATATATATATATATATATATATATATATATATATATATATATATATATATATATATATATATATATATATATATATATATGTATATATATGTATATATATATATATATATATATATGTATAACTTTAAAATCAGGAAATTTGTAAAAAAGTAAATTATAAGTTATAAACAAGACTAACTGATAAACTATTGTAATTAAATCACTAATTGGTTAGTAACAACAACATCAACAGCATAAAAATAAACCCACTTTATAATGCTGTAAGTAAAAACTTGTAATAAAAACTCAGATATATAAAAAAAAATTCATGTGTGAAAATGTGTGAAAAAATCCTTAGATTACTTGTTTAAGAAAAAAGGCAAATTTACCTTATTAAATAGATTGTATCGAAAAACAACTTTTTTTGAATTTGAAATTGTAATAGAGCGGAAAAGTTGCATAATGATATAAAAAGTAATTGTGCCAAATTATTTTGTATTTTTTTATGTCTTCAGTTCGCGCTAGGGTTTTATTTTTCGTAGAAAAACACGTTTTCTGATCCTTTTTACAAAATAAAAATAAAAAATTCTATGCATATACTAGAGTTGTAATAGAGTTTAAACATTAAACAATGACTTAGTTAGAAATGGTTACAATTTTTAAGAAATTATTTTAATGTCTTCAGTTGACGCTAGTGTGCTGTGTTTTGACGAAAAAACACTGTTTCATTAGTTTCTGGAAAACAAGCTTAGCAGTCTATAATGTGCAATTAAAGTTTTAATCGAGTGGAAAATGTTTTTGAAAAATGTTTAAAGTTGAGGTGTAATAAAGTTCAACTATCTGATTTATTTGTCTCTGTCTCAAACTGTCTTTTTGTGTTGAATATAGGCATTTGTTTTCGCGATGCAAGTCTTGCACGAATGAAGCCGTCTCTACTAGCCAAACCGCAAACTTGATCTGAAGCTTCAATTACAAGTTTGATGCATCTCTCTACCCCTTGAGTATGGCATGGAAAATGCTGCACATCTGGAAGGTTACCATTTGTTAACATTTCAATTAGATTTTCATCTGAAATGTGAGTGTTAATCGGAGGTTCACTTAGTTCACATTTAATCCAATCAATAAGGTCTATATAGTTTGTTGTTTCAAAATTGATTTCTGGTATAGAGAACTTTCGAACTTTGTTTGTTTTGATTGATCTTGCTTTCATTATTTGTTTTAATGAAAATTTTCTCACATTTGGACGAGTATCCGGTATCATAGCCAGAAGCATATTTTCTGGATGTGCGATGATACTTTTTATTTCACTACTGACATACCTGGATAAATTGATGGTTAGCCATAAATGTCTAGCACCTTCCGTGCATGAGGGATCGTATTTTATATTAAACCACATTTGGCAGTAAACACTAATAACAAACTCAACTATTTCTCTCAGGTTGTGTGACGGTTCGCTACATCTAACATAAAACCTCAATATTCTGTTTGCAGTGGTTACCCACCCGGCATGGTTAAGTTTTCCAGGATTTCGGTTAGCCAAAGCGTTTAAACAATAACCTGTAGATATAGCTTTGCAAATATCAAGTAAGTATTTTTGATCTGAACTAAGAGATTTTTTGT